CTTTTACATTTTCAATAACATTTTGCCAAAATGCCAGGGGGCAAGTATCTAGCTTTATACCCATTTCACTATGATATTAAGGCCTCCTTTTTTATTAGATCAAAAACAAACAGCGCAGCCAGCCAACCCACAAGGACAAGAGTAAATTCTTTCCTGAGTTCCTTGGACAGGGAAGGAAGCTGTGTGCTGTGTGTGAGCACCTACAGAGACCCACTGCCACCCACACCCCTGACAGCGCTCCTCCCTGCAGTCCACCCAGGACCATGCAGGCTGCCTGCATCAGAGCACAGCTGGGGAGGATGCATGGGGACACCGAGTCCAGAACCTGCTGCAGCCCTCACCACACACAGCCTCATTCACAGACCCACCCAAATCCATCAGGGAGTAGCCAGGGCTTTTTGCTCTCTGAAGCACCGCACATTCTCAAGATTGCTGCCCAGCAGTGCAGCGCAGCTGGGCTTTGTGCATCACCAAGCTGGAAGTAAATAGCATTTGGGGATGGATGAGTGTTTGGAGGTGGTGGTGCTTTCTCCTTTTGGGCTAGATTAGTCATTTTCTTGATAACTCTCTTTTTGAACAGAAAACTGAAGTTCTTTCCTAACAGATCTGATCCCAGGGGCCTTAAGAGGAGCACCAAGTACAGGGGGACCTGCAGGAAAATGAAGCCAAGTATCCACCGAGCCTCCACTGCTGCACCTTGCTCCCCCAGCCAGCACAGCCACAGCACGTGAGTGACAGCCTTTATCACAACATTGCAGTAAAAGTATTAATTTAACTAATTACGTGATTAATATTTAACCGTTCAGTGATATTTTTGTCATTCATAATTCAGTTGTTTGCATATATTAAAGATTTATTCTGTAGACACTTTCTGCCCAATGTCACATCAGCAGGGAGTGCGCATTACAGAGGACTGTCATTAAACGTGGCTCTCTTCTGTTTTTATGGAAAGAGCGGGGAAGAAAAGAGGAATGCTTGTGGTGAGCCCCTCCAGCATGTGGGGCTGCACTCTGCTTGCTTCCCTGCTCCATCCTTGCTCCATCCCTGCTCCCTTCCGCTCCTGTTGGGCTTACAGAGCTCTGCAGCTCCTCCTGCACCATGCAGGCTCTGCTGACTGCATGCAGCTCCTGGCTGTTGTGAGGCTGCAGGAACAGAGGCTGTGTGAGGTGCAACAGGGAGAAGGAAGGGGGTTGTTCAGAGCTGGAACAGAGCCGGGGCAGCCGCATCCAGCATGACCTGAAGCCACCCTGCTGCATGTGTTAGCACTGCTGGGTCTGTAAGTGGAGTCCAGCCACTTCTGCTGAGCCACAAGGGATGCTTATCTCCTAAATATTTGTTCAAGGTGGGTATGATACATAATGTTATCTGCTTTGTTGCAAAAAACCGCTGTGAATGGGAGCAGAGGTGCTCAAGAGACTGGAGAGTACCACAGTATCTGACACGGCTATCCAAGCAGCCAGGCAGTTTGGTCCCTGGGTGAGGGACAGGAGGGATGGCAAGAGGGGGGACAGGGAGAACATGACCACTGTCCCCTGCCCCCTGCTCCAATGGCAGCCAGGAGGGAGGGATGGTAGAGCAATTAAGCTGGGACTCATGCTCCCTCATGCCCCAAACTGCCAGGAATGTGGCTAAAGGTTGCATATGGCTGCAGAAGTTTTTCTGATTTGCCTCAGTTTAAATCTTCAGCTATAATTAGTGTGGACATCAATTAAAAAAATGCTGTTTTATTTTTATGGCATATTTTCATCACCTGTTGCATGACCAGTGATTTTAAACCCTTTCCAATTATGGGAAAATAGCACTAACAAGTGACACTGCCTACAGCATGGAACTCTGCTCACTGCTCACTAATGCGGCACTGGCTTCATCACTTAAGGGGTCTGCCACAGTTTCCAACCAAACAGCAACCAACCTTGTTGCTTCTTATGATGGCGTGTGTCCGTCATCAAGGGAAGAGCCACTGAATTAATTTATCTGGATTTCAGTAAGGCCTTCGACAGTCCCCCATTAACATCCTTCTCTCCAAATAGGAAAGATATGGATTTGATGAGTGAACTGTTCGATGGATGAGGAACTAGTTGCAAGATCATTCCCAGAAAGTGGTGGTCACTGGTCAATGTCCGGATGGAAATCAGAGACAGGTGTTATCCCTCAGGGGTCAATACAGACAAAAAAATGATCCGAGAGATGGAATACCTTTCCTACGAGAACAGGCTGTGAGACCTAGGGCTGTTCAGACTGGAGAAGAGAAGGCTCCAGGAAGACCTGATAGTGGCCTTCCAATATCTGAAGGGGAGCTATAAGAAAGAAGGGGGCAGACTCTTTATCAGGGTCTGTTGTGACAGGTCAAGGATAAGTGGATTCAAACTAAAAGAGGGGAGATTTAGATTGGACATAAGAAAGGCCTTTTTTACAATAATGGTGGTGAGGCACTGGAACAGGTTGCCCAGCTGGTGGATGCCCTGTCCTTGGAGACATTCAGGATCAGGATGGACCAAACTTTGAGCACCTCATGAAGCTGTAGGTGTCCCTGTTTATTGCAGGAGAGTTGGACTAGAAGGCCTTTAAATGTCCCTTCCAATTCAAAAGTTTCTGTGATTGTACAAATCTAGTTTCCATTACAATCAAAGACAACATCCTGGTCAGCTCAGATTTCCCCAGACATACATTTGGCCTGGAGGGTGTTCAAGCCAGGGAGAATTTTGATTTAAGCATCTTTTAAATGTTTTACTTACACAGTGACAGGAAAAAGTGTTCACTGGGCAAGAGTTTGAATCTTAACTTGGGGTGCAAACCACTACCCTGCAAATTGCAAAAGCCAAGCAGTCACACGTGCTCTGCTCCATGTACCAGGTCCCACACAGTGAATCCCATCTCAGGCACAGGTTTTGTGTCCCTAGTGGGGTGCAGTCTTCAAGCCCTTAATAAGAGACTAGAGGAGTCCCCCATCTCCTAGATGCTCTGACTGGGCATGTACATGCTCTGATCAGCCATGGAGCCCAGTCCTGATGGCACAGGTCAGTGACCACAGATACACAGCTGATCTGTGAGAAAAAAAGGGAGATAGTAAACCTATAACCCCCAGCACCTCTCTGTTTTTAGCTCCAACAAAGTATCAAATAGTACAGTCTTATCTTATTGGAGGGATGAGTAGAGTAACACAATGTAACAGGCTCATCCACCTCTTAATTCCTGAACACCTCTCATGCCAGCCTTCTAACATTGGCCCTGGAATGCTATAGGAGTTGTCTGAGCCATATGCTCACTTTGCAGTGCTTTTGAAGGATATTACATTCATTAACTGGGACCTGGAGGAACTGCAGGATCTATTATCTAGATTTAATACTTCATATTTTGCTGTTCAGGCTTGAATATCTATTTTTGTAATAGGTCAGAGCTAGTGTATGTAGTACCAACATGTATTTTTAAAAGTCAATAATCCAAAAGGAACATTATCATCTGCCATGGAGAATCATTCTTACAAAGTTCTGCAAGATTTTTTGCACTTTCAACTGAAAAGCAAAATTAGTATGTAATAGATTTTGTCACTAAAACAAAGGTAAAGAAAACAATGTGTTCAGTTCTATGTTACTATCAACTGAGGACCACTGAAGCAACAGGCAGTAAAACCCGCTGAAGTATAAATGAGCTGTTATTTCTGAAATACCACAAAGCATCCATGGTGATAAGGTTAAGAGGTCTTGTAGCTCTTTCTCTCTGCTTGTTGCTAACAATCTGTTTCCACACTTCAGACACTTTCACAGGTATCTATTTGATGTACAATTTCATGGAAATATATATATATCTACATATATATATATAATTTTTTTATTTTATTTTTTTTAATTTATAGAGATGGTGTTGCCTATAACATAGCACTGGAAGCACTAATCCTGGTACAGAAGGGTATGCCTTTTCCTGTGTTAAGAAATTCTCACCATCAAAAGCCTGGCATTGCTCAGCATGGCTGAGCATCCCATCAGCTCCTTGGGGAGGAGCAGGAGGGAGCAGTCACACAGTAAGAGCAAGCAGAGCAGTGGTCAAAGAGATCTGGACTCCAAGTGCTTTCATTTCCGTGCGTCTCATTTCCACCAGGTTTATTATGGTATTAACCCATAGCCCTTCACCTCATTGGGAGTCTGGAATTAGGCCCATCAGCACTGGCTGCTCATCCCAAATTTATCAGCAACATGTTCATTTCCCGAGGGCCTGCTTCTGCCACCCATCTCCTGTAAACAGTTCTTGAGTAAAGCACTGCTTAGCCATGAGTAATGGTGGCAGAATCCAGCCCTAAGTCAGGCTAATGATTTTATTTTGCCTTATTAAACTAGCATTTGTATATTTTAGTGTGTTATTTTAACAGCTATAAAAAGACTTTACTAAACAAACAGTTTCTAGTATGTTAATTGCTGTATTACGAATTCTTTCATTCTGCTCAGCATATAACCACATTTATAAGCTGGATAAGTAGAGACACATACAGACAGAACGGCACTCATCCTACCAACACATCATAACTCTGACACATTCATTTCAGTCGTCAGTCGTGAAATGCATTTGCTGTGCTTAACAAGAAAAAAATGTAACTTTCAAATACAGGTAGAATTTGCATTTCTCTGTAAAACTTCCCTGTGTGCTACTGACACTGCTCCGCTGGTCTTTTTAATCTTTTGTAACAGAGAACGTGAGATACAGCCTACCATTAAACTTACCATTTGCATTTATCCCCTACAGCCTCTGCTGTGCACCATTTTGCTGGTCACACCCAGGAGGCTGCCTGCCTTATTGGTGCAAACTGTGAGGTCCTGCTGCGACTGGAACTCAGCCCATCCTCATCACCCCTGAGCCCTTGGCATAAAGCTCCCTGGGACATGGGCAGAAGCCACTAATTCGGTTCGGAATAATGCAGGTGGCACAAACCCAATGTACCAAAGTGGGTGCCATCCCTGGGAGGGTGGCTGGGCTGGCTGTGCTAACAGCAGTGCAGCCCCACGCATTGCTGTGGTCTGCCAGGCTGGCTCTGCCGCCCTGGGCCCCGCAGGCCGCAGTGGCTGAGAAGAGCACAAGGGACACATTCTGGCTGACTGCATCATTCTAACAGATGCAACCAAATGATATTAAACTATGATATGAACCCTCAAAATACAAAATGCATTGCAGGTAGGAGCTAAGCTTTTTGTTCTTCGGTGAAATACGCCAAAGTCCAGGTAAGTGCCCAGGAGTTCATACACTATAGGTAATGTCTGTGCATCTAGGAATTAATCTCATTTTAAACTGTGGACTAGCATTTGAGTTAAATAAGTACATTAGTTAAGAAAATCAGGCTGATTTTCTTCCAGTGCTAGCACTTTTTTCAGTATGAAGTTCTGGTTACTTTTCCTTTTCTTTCAGTTCATTCTAACTGAATTTCTATCCAAATGATTAGCGAAGATTAAAAATACTAATAAAAATTTATATCACTACAAGTATCCTATGTGAATTATAACATTGTTGCCGCTGCTCTTATCTGAGCCCTGTGAGAGTTCTTGGCCTTTCATGTTTTCTCAGTAGAGAATTTACAGTAAATTTTGGCCATGAAAATCAGAGCAGGAACAAAAATTCTTTGATTTCAAACAAACTCCCAAGCTAGCATCTTAATGCTTTCTAGTTTCCCAAAGGTCCCAATCCTGCAAGAACTGCATTTCAGTTCAAACTCTGTGGGAGTTGTGGGCACTCAACAGAATTAAGTTAATACCTGAGAAGATGCACAATTCAAATAAAACATGCTTGCCTATACAAGCCTTTTCTTGCTATTCCTTTAAACACCCCTAAGTCATAGTACTATGAGGGACCTGATGAATAAAGGGTTGCCTGTCACACCTCTTTCTTCTTACTTGCTGTAACTTCAAGTGGGAGCCAACCACACTTTTACAAAGATTTTCAAATCTGAGTATGTCTGGACTTTGCAGCCACTAACATCAACCTTGTACAACATGTGGGGAGGTTGGCAAACATGCAGATACTGGTTTTATTTTAATGTAAATGGCCTAAATCCTTGCTCATTGAAGTCAACAGAGAAACTCTCAATGGGTCTCAGTGAAGAAAGGAAAAATTCTAGATGTAACTCAGCCACTTTTCAGGGTGCAATTCTGACCTTCCTCATCCTTTGTGTGTGTGGGTGCTGTGAAACCAGCACATTTCAGCCCACAGTGGGAGTAAGGGGAGCAGGCGCTCATAGTCTGCACCACCTTTATAAAATGCAAATAGTGACAGCTAACACACTTTGGTGCCCACTGCTCATGCAAACTGCTACAATATTTCATCTGTGCAAGCCATATCCCTGCACTTCTGAGCACAAGCATGTGAAAGCTGAGCAATTTTTTCCTATTACTGTTTTCTTTCTTTCCAGGCCAGCAGAAAAAAGTCGCTGGGCACAGCCTGCCAGGAGCTCCACTGCCTTCCACTACATCAGGATGCTCTCCACTGACATGAACAAGAATGATACCAGCGACTCTGGGTACGGATAATTTAACTTTCTGCTTACAACTCAGGCCGTGTGGTAATACTGGCAATTGGCTGGCATGCCAATTTGTGAAACTGGTAACTCTTCTCTTGCTGAGAATTATAATATGGAAAAAAGAGCTTATCTTACATTCATCCTCCATTTGGTTTTCCTGCACCCCATCTTTTTGTTCTCTGGTGAATAAGCTACACTTATTTTGCACAGTCCCAGCACCACACTGCTGAATACCTCATGCAGCTCACACCACTGCTCTGGCACAAAAACACCAGGGGCAGTTATGGGCACGCCCAAGGCCACAGCTGTTTGCAATTCTCTGTAAGCAAGTGATTTGGAAGTTGTATCCAGTTTTTTCTATCCATGTTTTTGTTGTCACACTTAAAACAATGCTTGAATTATGCTCCTGCTTATTTTTGCATTTAATTATGCTGTATTCAGTGTATTTTTCCTGGCTCCCTTAGAGAAACTGAGCATGTCAATAATAATTTGTTAAAGTTATTTCGAAGGGAAAACAACCAACAAAGACCTTACATCTGTATGTTGCAAGTTGGAAGACTTGGGCAACAGTTTTTTTGCTGGTGTGTCTGAGCAGTTGGTAGGTGAAAGGCAGAATCAGAGTGCGATTTTCACTAAGTTTTTTGTTCCAGCAGCAGGGAAAGAGCAGATAAAGAGAAACACTGATGCACAGATACATGAAGTGGGAGAACCAGGCTCCCCAGCCACATTCTGGAAGAAAAGAGTGGGGGGCCTTATTGCAGAGGCGGAAACGGCACCCCAGAGGGAGATGGCAATCAATATACCTGCTGCACAGAGGATGCTCTGGGCTTAAGCTTGGGGAAAACTTGAAAGTAATAGGAAAACTGTTAACTGTTGGATTATGATGAGGTGCTGAAAGTCGAACCTGGCTTTTTTATGTGACTGAGAGAGATTCATTCTTAAATACAATACTATGGTCATGGGTTTGATTCTGGTCCCAGTGAAGTCAAGGCCGAAACATCCTTTGACTTAAATGAAAACAGAAGGCAGCTCCCACTTTAACCCTTGCATCTGCAAACAGAATATAACTGGATGTGAACAGAAGAGGAAATGTTTACAGCTGGCAACAAATCCATCTTTTTAATTGGAGGGGAAAAAAAAAAAAAAAAAAAAAAGCCATCACTGAATTTATTCCTCTTTCAAAAGCAGTGGTAAGTACTTCTGGCCCAAGTTCAGCCCTCATTCCCTCCCAGACAACCCCAACACAAGTGGAGGACCAAGTTTCTTTCTACTGTCATCTACTGATTCCCGTGGAGTTCAACTACCCAAGTTTGTCCGTGAAATTATATGTAAGTTTTGCAATGGCAGAATTTAGGCAGTGATCTCCCTGAAGGCATACCACGTTCCCCAAATGCCAAATCTGCAGCCTCTGATGTAATCATACCCATACAAGTCATTGGCATAACACCATCAACACAGTATGACACCAATGTTAAAAGAAGGGTCCCTGTTTTTCATTGTCTGCTTTCTCACGAGAGAGATTTGCTGCTGCAAAAGCTTCTACCAGATCTAAACGGATTACCTGCAGCACTGGTAGCATCTGCTCTCCATTAGGACAGAGGCGTAACGGCAGCCTGCCCTTTGGACTGGGATTCCTTCAGCGTTTCAGCTTTACGGTGAAAATCTCAGTTTCCAGTGCTTGCCAACTGATCCTTTCTGAGTCTGACCAAGAGTAACGTTGCAAGTGCTGCATAATAGCTTCCCAGCATCCACGTGCAGGATTCCTTTCAGGTATTGCTTTTTGTGGTCCTCAGCAGATAAAAAAGCAGGAATTTTAGCCTTTGAACTCATACCATGCTACAGTAGAGTGAAATCAATACAGTACATATGAACACTGGAATACCTCTGCTTAGCCTGTTTGTCTGGTGCCCAGCTCTGGCAGGCAGGCAGTCATCACAGGGATTGTATCAATGAGGAATGCAGTAAGTGCACGCATGCTAAGCTAAAAGCCAGCCCTCCTAGCACAGATTCAAGCAAGAGCAGATCAGGTGAAAACATCAACAACAAAAATACCAAAGTACAAAATCTCTTAAAATTTGCCTGCAAATTATTTTTAAGTACTAGAAAATAAAATGCATGCTAATCACAGCAGATGAGTTAGAAGAGTAGGTAACTTGGTGGATATAGCATGGAGATATGAGTTTATAACTCTGGAGCTTATTTCTAACTCTGCAGCTTCTCCCAGCTGCAAAATCATGTTAGGAGAGCCACCATCCTGGGTATCACTTTATCAATGCAGTTATAGCGGGGATGAGAGTGGCAATACTTACCCGTTCTCACTCAGCAGAATATTCATTTGATGTCAGAATAGCACAATGGAGCAAGCCGTTGTGCTGCAAGGACTAAGCATATTAATCTATTTGTTACATTCATGTAACAAAGAAACTTGGCGGAACTGATGTAGCTAACAGCAGTTTAGGGCACAACCTGTGTTAGCTATAGCCTAGCATGGTCCGCATCACGTTGTCACTGTGCTTGAGAGATCTAGCCTCCTCTGTGCTTTCAGAATTGAATCCTGTGCTTGCATGCCTACATATTTCTTCTATTTAAATATGCAGTTTGTTCTTAAAGACTTTATTAGCCCATTAATAGATTAATTCTATTTTCAATTTTACGGGTACGAATTTGGAGTATCTCCTTCAAAGCCAATGAAGTCTTTTTTTGAAGGCCACCTGGCCAGGAAAGGCACATGCACCTACCTGTAAGGGTAGGACTCTTCTGTGCTCACCTGCCTGTTGATTTTACACCTTCAGATGTTTTTGACAAGTTCCTGTCTTCACATCAATATGCTTTCCTGGCATCACTCCACAGCAGTGAACAGTTACACCAGGGATTATCTGGGGCACTTTTCTAAAAGAACAGGACTTATTTTGTTTCCATTTATGCTTACAGTAAAACTCTCATTGTCTTCACTGGAAGACAGATTTGGCCCCGTGTACTAATATCCAAACTACCTCAATTTACTTCAGTGATAGAAGGCAATGAATTAATAAGGCCCAATGTATTTTTAAATCTTAGATTTCATAAATGATCACAAGCATGTAGGTCACAATATATACACAGAACGACACCTACAACAACCACCAGTGGGATCATTAAAATAATTAAATTAGGCCTAAAGACAAATTCATTTCGTAACATGTTCCTTACAAAACAGATACCCCTTGCTTCATAATCTAGGGACTCTTTTTTATAAACTTCCTAAGTAGTTCATGAAATATCCCCCTAAGGAGACCAGGTCTACTTGCCATTGCAGAGTCATTATAAAGCAAAAGTTTATAAATCACAAGACAAACACCAGTGATGTGTACTCAAAGACCAAATATGAAGAGGTAACATCTCTTTTGCTTTGCTGGTGCAGTGGTTTGCTGTGACCTCAGGACATGATTTCCAAGACAAAGTTACCGAACCCACATCTTAACGTAAGTCCTCTCCATGTGTTGTGTCTACTGGGTGCACAGCACACACACACACACAAAAAAAAACAAAACAAAACAAACAAAAAAAAAAACCAACCATCAATAGAGGGGATTCCCCTTTGTTTTAAGTGTGAAGTTGCTACAACTATGAAACTGGGCAAAGGTGCAGTACTTTGCACTGTGTTCACCAGCAGAAAAGCAGCCTCCATTAGCAGCACATAAAAGGAGGAGACAGGTTACTTCCATAGCATCTTATGGGAGCTGTTTCTCAAACCGTGCTGCTAATGCTGATGCTTTTCATGTTTCATGTTAGTGCCCTGAAAACAACTGCTGAAAAATACTTAAATTGTGCTGCTGGCACTGAAGTACCCTGGCAGGTGAGAGGTGAGTGGTAAGCAAAAGAAGGAATTAGAAAAATGACAAAGGACTTAACCAACTAACCTCAGAAACTGCTAGCGCTAAAGCAAGAAAATGCTGAATTACTGGTCTCCCTGTCTTCTGGGCTCTATGTGTGAGTTTTAACTGACTGATTTTTAAACAGACTGATTTTTAACCCATTGTAAACAGGAAGGAGGGAAATTCTAATGGGCTAAACTCAGCCCAGTTATTGTTGCAGGAGAACAGAGAAGAGCAGAAAACAAGACATGGTCATCTGAGTTTGCACCGAAGATATTGGAGAGACACAGCCCAGCAGGCCTGAGCCGCTCTCAAAGGCCACAAGTGACATCCCTTTGGCCATAGCCTGGATGGACAGATTGCATAGAGGACACCTCCTTTCTCTTCCCTTTTGACTAGCCAAGCCAAACAAGGTAATATCTAGATCAGGAATGTGGAATTTTCTCAATTTCAGGCTTTTTGAGCAGCCTGTGCTGGGCTTAGCAACACAGCCATAATTTTATTTCTGTCAGGCGGATGAGTGCGGTTTGCTATCTTGTCCTCTCCAACAGTAGCACAATCCTTCCCTTTCTACATGCTATAATACCTATTTGTGCCTAGAACTCCACAGCTCAGGCTGTAATATATATACGTATACAGAGAAATAATAATTTTGGAAAGTGTTCATCAGAGACTAGCTGTGTAACATTCTCTCATACATTTCATCAAATATTCCAAGTAAACATACCAATAATTCATTCATTGACAGGTCCCAATCTCTGCACCCAATTACACTAAGATTTGTGTTCCCGAAGGATAAGCTGTGCTTCCCTCTCCAGAGCCTGCAGGCAGTCCCTGGGCAGCAGCTGTGCTGGGCAAGGCAGCATTTATGAAGTCCAGTAAGGAGTAAACACTTTTATCACAGCAGACAGCTCAGCTCTGTTGTGGCTCCCTACATGCCAGTTAGTCAGAGATCCTGGAGAGATGGACACAGACAGGTCTGAAGAATCAGTTTCCATACAAATTCCTTCGCTCCCATCTCTCACAGTCACTGGACTGAACAGTTACGTTAGAGGGCTTGTTCTCCTTTACCACCAAAGCCACCACCACTGCAGAAATGCAGCAGCATCCTTAGTTAACACAGGCAGATCTGTTTTTGTGTATTATTTCCATGAGCTCTGCTCAGTTTCTCAAAGCAGACTTTGATTCTAGGATTTTTCCCTCTAATAGAATGTAGAGACAGGGTATCTAAGTCATTATCCCCAGCTGTAATTACTTCCCTGTTGCAGATTTTTATTCCATGGAGGCCACATCCAGTGCACCTCCTTTAGCCACGCAATGCCCTGCTCCTTTCAGGCCTGGCGCTGTTGAGGCGGCTGCCACATCGGCTCCAACGAGTCCAGCCAGGAGAACAAAGGGTTTTCTACCTCTGCCTGCCATACTCTGACCTCCGTGCTACCCAGGAGTTTTGCTGGCTGGGTCCTGGAAGCAGCTCCCATCCTGCCCGTAACTTCTCACGCTTCCCAGAGAGCTGCATGGACTCAGGTGGCTGCAGCCACACAGCACCTTTACAAAACAGCAATGTTTGCTGTGCAATCAGGGAATGCCTGGTTCCTTTTCCATTACTTGGTTCAGCAATCTAGAAATAAGAGTTCATTGCTGATTCCAGCTTCCACTCAGGTGAGCACAGCACTCACAGGTTTAGATGCAAGCTGGGGGGGGAAAGAAGGGTGGGATACAGAAAGGGTTTTTTGAGGATTTTTTCTTCCCATTAACTGTTCTGCTGGTCAGAATTCCCTTGGAAACCAAAGACCTGCTCAGTCAGCAACCAAATGAGAAAAACTCTAAAGATTTTTCTGTTAATTACAGGTGCATTAAATGTAACAGAAAATGATTTTAATGTCAATGAAAATTCTTATGTTAATTCAGAAAAGGCTTTGTGCATAACTGAAACTTCTGCTTTTATATTCCTTTCCTTGCTGTCTTCTGCAGCAGAGCTGGGGGGCCCCTGGCAAGCTCAGCACTCCAGTGCCAGTGCACCACAACCACCGTGCTGGTGCCATACCTCGGCTCTGCAGCTCTGAGCATCAGTAGCACGGGAAAACAATCCTACCTCTTCAAGTGTTTTCCTTTAAAGTCCATGTATGCTTCAAGTTCACAATATCCATTAAAATTAATGAGCTTTGTGCTGCAGCTCACATGCAGGTGTGTTTTGTAGAGCTTTGCCTGAATGTGGGCTGTAGGCACCAATTCAGAAACTTTGCCTTTTGGGTAATAGACTGTGCCTTTTAGCCTGGTTATGCCTGAGCCTCGTGCCACCCCACAGACGACTTCACTGGGAAGAGCAGTACTTTACTGCTCGTATAATGTGCCATGGCAGGCACACGTTGTGCTAAAACAGCATCACTAAGCAGGTCTGCAGAGATACTGAAGAGGGACAACATGCCATACACACACACTGAGTGAGTGAGCTGTGGTCAGCATGGTATGGAATTGGAATTGAGAGGTTTTGGAAACCCCTAGGTTAGTATTGATGCTAACAATTATACAGGGTCAAAAGAGAGCGAGTGGACCCAGGAGAGCTGGCAGTTTTCTGCTCCAAATTGCAACCCTGACCACAAATGCACTGTGTTTTAGAGGCCACAATCAGCCTCTGGTTATGAATAAATTTGGTCTTAACTTCCTGGCCAAAGCGGAGGATTTGTTTAAGAACTGATTTACACCCTTCTGCCAGTATGTGGTGAATGACAGGATCTGATAATTGGCATTGTTCTCTTGTAATAACATCAGGACTCCACAGATCTGATGAGGAGTTAACAAGTCAATGGTGGTAACACTGGACTGATCCTACGTGCTCTTACGTGTGCTAAATCTGGAGAATTATGCACACTGAATACATCCGAATTAATTTCCCTGCTCTCTCCCAAGAAGAGCAGGAAGTTTTTAGTTGTAAAGGGTGAAGTGGAAAATCTGTTTTGACAATCTCAGTATTGGATGTGTTTGAGTTAATCTGTATCTGGCTATACGATGTCAGCAGTCATGGTCTGGCAGCTACAACAGGTGAGTCTTGAAACTTGGAGAAGAATGTTGGCCTGGAATTCAGTCCAGCCTGGTGTGACTGCAGAGAGGTGGGGAGAAGAAAAGATCTTGGGTGTTGCTGCTGAGTTCCAGCAACAGGGGAATCTAGATGACTTACTGTGCAGCTGGGCTCAGAAGAACATGCTTGCTAGGAGAGCTTGTCCAAATGTGGCTTTATAAAAGAATAGAGTTTGCTTTGACAAGAAAAAGTCCGAAACTTTAGGGGGCTCTTTTGTAAATTCCCTCCAAAAGATCGTGTGTTCAGAGGAAAATAAGGCAGAGAAAACAGGAAAATTATACCATGCCTCTTAAAACCTACAGTCATATCACTGCTTTCTGAAACTGTTAAGAAAAGCCTGTGCTGGTTTTCTCTGGAGGGCAGAGCCTCCAGATGGGTGGACGCCATCTCCAGAAGCCAAGGTGCCTCAAGGTCAGGGCATGCACTGTTAGCACCAGCACTGCCTTGGGCCACAGAGCCAACAAGTTTTGCTTTCCTAAAGAGGTAAGAAAACTTTAAAAAAGGTGGGTGTTCTCGGTTAACCAGACAGAGTAAAGGCTGAAGGCAGGCAGGTCCAGTCCAGCAGGTCCCAGCCACCTTGTTCTGCCAAGCGGTGTTGGGGAAGCTCCTCTGGGTCTGTGTGACCACACTGCTCCCACCAGGGAACCTCTGCCTCAATTATAAGGATGTCTGCTCACTTCTCGCACATGAGCAACGCTCCTGGAAGTGAGACCTCTTATAACCTTGCTTCACAAAATAACATATTTATCTTTAACAGAGGGTTAGACAACAAATACTAATTAACCAAGAATGTAAAGTAAATATGTTTACCCTTTATAGCTGAACAATTCACAGGGAGCTCACAGCAATTCTCTGAGATAAATGTTAAACAGGGCTGTAAAAAGAACAGGCCTGTTTTTCATTTTTTCTAATGAAAAAAAATGTCATTCTGCTTTCTAACAACTTAAAAATCATATCAAAATTTTCACCGAAATGGCAAAGTGTGTGCTTGCTGTGGTATAAGGGGATTTAGAACTTTTAGTTCTTTTCCACTTAAAGTTGATGAGATATCTGTCACTGAACTCAGTGGGAGCAAGACTGGATGATTTGGCAGCATCTTTGGGTATTCGACTTTGCACATTAAAAGCTTGGATTTCTGGTTGTTTTTTATTTTTGTTTTTTAAGAGCTACCACATTCCCTTGAATAAATACAATTTGCAGCTCACTTTATAGATGTGCTAAAGTCTTTACAGAATTCCCTTATAATCTGTCATATAAATCCATATTCAAGTGTCAACGTGTGAAGGGGTTGCTTTTAGAGGTCCTGTGGGTGAAAACATGAATGGAATTTCTAGAGGAAATGCTCTCAAAGTTGAATAATTGGTCTGTTCAGCTGGTTACTTTAGAAATAAGATATTGACAGTAAGAGTATTCAACATATTTTTTTTCTTTGCTTTACACACCTGTAGCTCACAACTATCAGAGTTGGCAGTTTTTGTGAGAAAACTTACTAAAACTAAGTTAGAGAAAGTGAGCCTTAGATGCAGTAAGTCAGTGCCAGCCTCCATGAATCCCCCAAAACTTGTTAACTTGAATGGCAATTTCAGGTATACAAGAATAGCAGCTTCAACTAGTTATAAGTAGAGGGATTAATACTACTACTTCTGAGATCCTCTCTGTGACTATTATGCTGTGTTTATGTTGTTTCTGCTCACAGTATCTTTTGCTTGTTTCTTTTTTCCCTTGCCTTTCACCCTTTGAAAATCCAGTTTACTTATTTATAAGGTGTTTCATTTAAAAAGCCAACTGGGAAAACTTGTAAGAGTAAAGACTAAGGTGAGCATGTCTAGTTTAGAAACTGTCCTTGGCAGTGGCTGTTTAACCCTTCCCTTTTGCCACAACAGTTGCGTGCTGCTCCAGTGTTCTCTTCTTTGGAGAAGTTATGTAGCCCATAAAAATTCACTGGAAAGAGGGCATCTGCCACATTTAATGCCTAATCTGGCTCCCTTTGCTTATGCAAATCTAATCAATGGACAAATTCTCTTCTCCCAGCAGCTGCACTGTAGTATGAACACCATCAAAGACTTCATCAAAGTTTCTCCAAAACAACTCTGGGATCACTGAAATGCAAAATTAGTTCTCCAACTTTACATTGCCAGCTATTTCCCTCACGTGAGTAAGACTCCCAGAATCAGGTCCTTTGTTTCCATGAATTAGGGCTAACCACATAACTTGGGATCAGACAAGTAAAGCAAGCGAGTGGGCTGAGCACAGTCAATCCTAACAAATTACAATAAGAAATGTATCACGCTGCCTGCTGTCAGGTATAATTTATGTCATACCAGAGGGGTGACTGGAGAGCAGGTATAGGCAGGAACTGGTCATACCTATACTTGCTCCTGCTGGGCCTGATCTGGCAAGCTGCTGAGAGCTCTTCCCTCCCGCTGAAGTCAACACAAACTGAGTTCATTTAGGACCTAACAGGATTGGGCCTCCTTCAAATACTATTGAAAGATAAACATGATTCAGTGATTGTTTTCCGTTTCCCATTAGCAAGTGATGTCTCTGTGTACGATCATGTTTATACACATGTCCTTAAATGTGCATGTGCTGTATAAATTACAAGCTAAAAGTCTATTTGGGATTTTGGAACACAGAAAAAGAGATAGAGGTTGTAACATGAACAGGAAGGTTATTCCCACAGCTTTCACTTTTAGTGAGTGCAAATTATATTTTATGTGACACAAGCTAAGATTTAACAATGCATTTCAGCATATGCTTACATCTTTCCCTGAAACAGAAGCTAGAAATTTGTTTAATTTCTTGGATTTGAAGCTCATAAATTCATGCTTATAAATTCATTTGGACAGCATATTTTGGACAGTTTAATATGCTGTCCAAAATAATCCAGGAAACTCTGCATGTGGATGAGTATGGCTATGCCTCTATATGTGGCCATGCACATCATCATGTGAGCATAATTTAATAGTGCTCTGGCATTCTTTCCAGATGTCTCACCCAGAAAAGCTATCTCCTTCTTCTTGCATCTGCAAGAGATGCCTCTCTCATCCAGAGCACTGCAATGGAAATCTGTGCCTTGTGGAAGAATCACACACAAGCAGCAAAGCACCATCAGGAGCTCCCATCATCCCCACTGAAATAACTGCAAGTTTTATTTTGATTTAACTGGGAATGAGAGTAGGACAGGCTCAGTGGGGCAACCAATCAAGTCTACAGTGCACTGCTGCAAAAAGCCAAATTATGAAGAAGAAAAGAAAAAAAAAACCCACAACAACTAAGATTTGATTTGAAACTTAAAGTGAACCCGCCATCCATAACACATGTAGCAATGCAATCTACATAGGTGGTGGTAAGGGGTTATGTTTTGCTGTAAAAATATACACGGCTACTATGTAATCCTTCTGATTTTCAGATCTAGCTCTTCAAGCTCTTACTCCTGTAAGAACTGAAGTTTGAGCAGCTGAAAAAGCATTCAAGCCTTATGAGATAATACTGCAATGCAAACAACATACAGTACACAGCAAAACATCTGGCAGCACAAGAGCTCTGGTCAGTCACAGTTTTGTATTTTTAACTTAATAGAACTACAGAACCTTATGGAATATGCTTTTGGTATCTTCGCAAACAGGAAAAAGATTTTAAATCACTACTCTGTTCTCTTTATATAAAATATGTGAATTTATGTACATTTTTTTATTAAGCAAGTCTGATATGAGGCACATTTTAAAAATAGCGTCAGCAGTGATATTTTAAAAAGCAGAAACAGATGTGCTATTCCATCACAACTACTGAATCTTCTCTGTATTTTTCTACTATGAAGCAATTGTCTGCTCCTCTGTTATAAATCTCTCCCCACCAGACTTCTCTATGATTAAAGTACCACACAAACATTAAACAGCAACTGTTCTGAAAAAAAAATATATATATATGGTTTCAGCCTAACCATAGGATACAGGTATTTTAATAATTGTTTCTTTCCCATAGACAATGTAGCAAGTATCTCTCCTTGGCATGAGAACGCAAGTCCAGCTTTATGACATCAGAAGCATATCAAGGTATCTCCATAAATGACATTTATTGCTTGAGAACCTGCCAATTCTGTGCCAAAAAGCTAGTTCTTTAAAAGGAAAAATCCCCAAATAAATCTAGAGCTTTACAGTGGTTGTCAATAAAGAAAAAAAAAAAAGTCCTTCTCTTTACAGAAATACTGGCCATGTGGGTAGCAAAATCTCTGATAACTCGCTGGCCTGAGCTCTGGATTACTTTTGAGTCCATAGTCTCCTTTAAGCAGTCTGACAGGCACCTCGATGCTACACATCTACACCTTCTGGTGGTTACACATGAGGCATTTATCCTTCTGAAGCATAACAGTCAGAATGACAAAAGGATGAATCATTTTAGTGATCAATAACTGTAAATCAAAATCAGGTACTCCTAAAATGAAAATATTTTAACCTTGAAAACAGCGATCTCTTTCACAGAACCATTACAGGTCTGATGCTACCCAGGCTGACCCATACATCGTGGTGCCCAGTAACCCAGAGGACTGGGACCTGGACAAGTAACAAAGAGACAGTGTTACACGTACAATATTTTCATGCCACCTCAGTTCATAGTTTGATGTATCTGGAGTTCCCTCTGCGATAATACGGCCAGAACTAAATTCTTTTTGCCAGGCTTGTCATCAACATCTTCAGTGCTGATCAACTACCCTAAAGTATAAAAACTGGATCCAAAGTGTGGCTGCAAGCGCGTGGAGCTGCTATACTGGCCACTGCCCACAGGACATAACTGCTGCCACAGAGGCACTGAGCTATGCCTGACTTTAGGATTTCTGCTGGCCAACAAAAGCATCTGTCTGTCCTAGTATAACTGAACTGTTTTATTCTCTCAAAAGGGGAAAAAAGAAGTATTTTTTTCCCCTAAATCTGAAAGGAATAGGTTGCTAGGTATAGTTGGAAATAATCCAGGACACCAACAGGTGCTTCACACGTAGCAGTACAGTGCTGAAGACACTGAGAGGGAAAATGAATAGGCTCTCTAAATAATACATAAATTGTACAGGCATTTTTTCTATACAACACCAGTGAAGTTAACGTATAAATTGGAAACTGAATTATTCATAAGTGAATATATAATAAATGGTATTTCACACCAAAATATGCCACACAGGTGCACGAGTATTTCCATGCAATGAACGGAATGAGGCAGAGAGACTGAAAATACAGAAGTCTTACCTGGAGTCTGGGTACTTGGTCAGGGTAGCCAGGCTGCTGGTGTACATGTGTCCTCCTACATCGATGTGCACAGGAGCGTTCGACTTGGTGAGCTGAGCTGGGAGAGGAATTCCTTGAGCAGCCAGAGGAGAAACTGGGGACCGTGTTAGAGACAGACGGGACATGCTTCTTCCCTCCTGGAAACGGAGGACAAAAAGAACAGTTTCTCTTAAATGTAGCAGTATGTTACCTTTATTTTCAGTGTGATCACAGATCTAATCAGATCATTTTTGCATCTGCCTGATCACATATTCAGCTAACAAATTATTGCCACCACTGTAATTAAGTGTATTTGCATCATTTTCTTTAAAGTACCAGAGGGGAAGGGAAAGATGCTTATTAGCCATAAGAAATCAAGAAAAAAAAATTTCAAGGTGTCAGCCTCAAGGGGCATAAAACAAACTGCAAAATTCTAATTAAAGGTCGCGGGCTTATGTGTTAGATGTGAAATATCCCCTGACAAACGAATAACCAATTTGTGAATTGGGATTCAGGGGGTTTTGCAAGTTTGTCTCAGTAACAAGACACCTCTAAATTAGTGACTTCCTCAATACTTAAGGCATTTAGTTCATACATGTAGTAAATTTCATATCAAACTAAGATCAATTTTGTGTCTTATTTTCAATAATTGCAAAACGAATGGATACTTTTTAGTTAAGCCTTAATATTAGATACAAAGAACTAATAAGCTTTCAAACTGAATGCAATGCCTGGAAGCAGTGAAAACAGAAAGATATATATATATATAAAAATTGACCTGTGTTTTCATGACAAGAAGCGTTAGAAACCACTACGCAATCTGGCAAGTGAAATTACAAATTCAACATCCACCTAATGGCTACTGCACTAAAAACGTTTGAAAATTAGCAGAATTACTGAATTGGGTCAAGAATCTTCAGCTGATAGACAAAGCAAAAAACACTTAAATGTCTTAAAAATGGAAAGAATTAGCAAAGCAGGAGAAAATTCCTCGGTTCTCTTCAGTACGAAAAGCACGGCTTATTCTGCATGAAACGTGTGTCTCAGAGCTAATTTTGGTTAAATCAGTACAGATAGCATACAAGGCAAACAAAAACAATCTGCTGTAAGTTTTAGAAAATGTCCATTCATTCTCCCCCTTATGGGTAAAACAACATATGCAAAACATTATAACTGAAGATATTTCTGAATATAATCTAATTTTCTTGGTATTTTGTTTTGCAAGCATGCTACCAAACACCCAGACTCTCCCTTCCATCTAAGAAGCGCTTTAATACAGCATTACAAAGTGAATTCCCATTTCTCCCACGTTACTTTGATAATGTTTCCTAGAAATCTAAAGCTGGTCTCGTCTTTCTCTTAGCAGCAAATATTTTGCACGAGAAGCCTAGCTGTGACACTCAATGAACATGCAGTTAGAAATATTCTCTGTAAAAATCCAAATCTAAGCTATTAGAAAGGAGCTGAAAAATCTTAATACATCCGGACAGCTTCATAAAGTCATCATAATGTCTCCATTAACTGCATTTATCAGGTTTAGCTCCAAAGGATTTCCTGCATCTAAAGCACAGCAATACATCACCCCATTGTGAATCCACATCCTTTCCTCTTCGGAGGCAGAAGGGACCTCTGCACTGAGCACGAAGCAAATGCCAGCTCTGTCCTAGGACTTCTGTGTCAGTCGATGTGAAATTGGGCATTAACATTTTTACTACAGCACCACCTTCAAGGAAAGTGATTGAATCCTTTCATGACTCAAGATGCTGCTTTCTTGTTTCCCACAAGAGCTTGTTGTGGGCAAGCTTTAGTAAATAGGTCCTATAGCATAAATAAAAGAACTAACTTTCAAAAGCAACTTAGTATGTAAGTACCTGCAGGATTTTGGCGCTCTGTTTACCAGTCTGTGGGTGCCTCATCTGTCTGCCAACACAGAGATTTTTCTTTCTTACCAAAGAGCACTGCAAACTCATGTTCAGTCTGTGCTCCCTCACTTAAATGAAAGGGTCAGGAGACACAGGCTGAATGTCAACCCTGTCTTTGTTCAGACCCTAACTATTATCACTAATGATAAAGGTACAGACCTCGTGCAGCACAGAGCTGCCTTAGAAACACATCTCATGCAGTTTCACAAAACAAGCGCCTAATTAGGGCTCATCTGCACCCCTTGTTACAATTTCCAAATGAAATCAAAGGGCTTCTGTAAACGAGTCTTGCATTTAACCATTTGTCTTGAAACACAGACTTCAATTTTAAAATATGCACAGATAGCTAAAGATCAAGTGATCCGAATCTATTTGTGCATATTTAAGCACGGCTGCTATCTTAGGATTTTGTTTAATGTTAGTATACCAGTAAATTCCTTGATCTGTAAAAAGCCTGAGATTCTCAGTGAGGCCATCCATACTCACACAGTAGATATTTAATTTATACTATTCACTGGAGGGACCTTTTGAACAATCCTCTGCTTTTGGCATCTCTCAGCTAGAGCATGTGTTGAAAAAACACTTAATTATAGAAAATCACTGGAAAGCTAAAATAGTTCTCAAAGTTTTATGGCTTCTCATACTTACTGAGGATGCTACCGGCTTTTTGGGGGAGGAGGGAGAATTAGAACACAGGCTTTTCCCTTGCTTGGAGAGGATTCGTATTAAAAATGAACCCAACGTGTTTATGAGAGCTGTGGACTTCAGTCATTTCCTATGTGCAGATTATCAGGGGGCGTAATTGTTGAGCATAAGGACACTGAAAGCACTTCTAGTGCTCCAAGAAATAAGCACTCTCATTTCTTAAGGTACTGTAACACTATTTCTAATGACTCCTTCCTCTCCTTAATGTAAGACGCAGATAAAATTCATCACACTGAATAATGCACTTATTTTATGCACAAAGCAAAATCCTAAATGTATTTATCCAGTGAGTCTTTATGCACGTATTTTCTAATACTGATGTGAAAATTAAAACCTTAAGGGTGAGTACTGCAGGAACACTAACTAAATTCATTTATTAAACCATGTAAAATAATCCTTGCTCTTTAGTTGCCTGCAACAGGATACAGCATCCCAACTAGTGGCACAGGCAATAACCCTGCTCTAATAAGTAACACGGGAACCTGCTGAAGGCAAAATCAATAGAGCCCGATTCCCAAATTATCTGAATATTTAGTTTTTCAAACATTGCACACCAAGATCTTTCAGAGCCAGCTTATCTTTTTCTGCCTTTCTAAGCTAACTGCATAAGTACTGCTTGTAAAAACTATTTGCCCATGCAAAGTGAAATAATCACAATGCCATGCTCATTTACACACAAAATGATTTTGTGTCCCATTGTGCTCACAGTTGTTCAGCTCTCTAGGGGTGAT